TGCCCTGTTAGGGTTGTTAAGTTTCCCCAACCTTAACCTATAAAAAATGGAAACAAAGACAGTGTAAGATTTTTCCTGAAATGCTTTGCAAAGGGGAGTCCAGAGTTTAACCGTCAACAGCATTAGTTTCAGTTACGCAATTACGCTTATCCATAGCATGAACTTTTAAGAAAGGGAACTTGCCTAGTTTCAGTATATGCTTTACACAAAGTGTCGGGATTATGACTTTTCACTTCTCTGCTTCTCAAATGGAAAACAGGAAAGCATTCTTGCAAAACATTTGATTGTCTTATGACCTTTATACACTCTTTTCCAATGAAAGAAAAATCCATGTGCATCTTTTGAAATGGAAATTTGGGTGGAGGAAACTGTCCTCTCTTAGGTTTCATGTTGCCTTGTGGGTTATGTTTTATGCATGTGATACATGCTTTACAAAAACTCTTTGCATAAGAATGAAATCCATAGGTAGTAAAATGTATAACATTACACATCCCTGCAGTTGAGACATGGCAAGGCCCATGGCTCAAAATAGCTGCAGTTCTGAACACTTTTTGGTAAGACAGGTTTGTCACAAACTTGGTAAATTCCACTGTCTGTCTTAGTAGCTCCTTGTTTGATCCAATAATTTTGTTCTGTTAGTGGGGCTTGCTCTTGTCTGCTCCTTACAACTTCAGAATCAATGGGAGATTTATCATCCTCATCTTGTGAAACATATATATCAGACATAACAAACACCCCTGATGCTGGCCACTTCTACCCCTGCCTCTGTTTTCTCTCACAAACACTTCTAACTCATCTAGGTAAGTGTAAAACACTTCTCCTCTGCCTCCATTTCCACTTCCCTTTTCCTTGGTAACTTCAGCTGCATGCTTAGCTTACTCCATTATCCTCACAACATCAGCTGTTCTGTGCTCTACCAAATGCTTTCTGATCCAGGAACTAATGTGTGCCTGGAACCCATTTTTTAAACCATTTTTAAGCTGTGCCTGATAAATCTAATCTAAAGATCTAATTTTGTAATCATCCACATTTTCTCCTGGTTTTTGTAATACAGTGGACAAATGGGCATAATCAGCCCTCTTTTTAAAATCAGTGCGCATGGCATTGCAAACAGCAGCCCACTGAGGCTGTAAAGCTGTTATAACTGTTCAAGATATTTTAAGTGGTCTCGGTTTATTCGACCCATAAATATTTTTCATCTCCTTTGTGCAAAGATATTTTGCTTCGAGGTTTTCCCATTTTTTTTAATCGATTTTTTAAATGTTTTAAATTTTCATTTAGGCCTATTTTTTTATTTTTTATTTTATTCTTTTTATGTTATTTTATTTATTTATTTTACTACTCTGTGTTGTGTTATTATTATTATTATTTATATCTATTACCGGTTTACACTTCTATTTTGCGCACTCTGGGGACTCCAATCCCATAACCTAGGTATCCTTACGGCTCCAACAGCCTTGTTCCAAAAGCGCTTCTCTCAGGGATTTCAACCCTTTTATTTCCTTGGTACCTTTACCTTATGGCTCTATCAGCCTTGCTCCCAGAGCACTTTTATCAGTGACCTCAACCCTGTGAGTCCCTTGGTACCTTTACCCACTACACTCCAAAAAGCTCCAGCTCAAATGAACTGCTCCAACCGACAACAAGCAAGTGACAAGTCATCTCACGATATAGGTTACAAGCTATATAAGTTAGTTATAAGTTATAAATAAGTTATATGCTAAGTTAACAGCCTGTTAACAAAATATGATGGATTAACCTGCCCCAGCCGCCTGCCACCAACTGAAGCCACATCCAAGTTTGGGCAACCCCCTTAGAGTGCATGGGACTCTGACTCAAAAAGGCAAAAATCTTGCCTGGTTTCAGTATGTGATTTTTCACTTCTCTTCTTCTCAAATGAACTACAGGAAAGCATTCTTGCAAAACATTTGACTGTCTTATGACCTTCATACACTTTTCCAATGATAAGAGTAACATATAGAAAAACAAATGATTGAGAGCAATATAAAACATATAAATGAATAAAATGATAAAAACAACAGAAATCATTATAACTCCAACATGCCCAATGCAAAATATGTTTTCAGGCATAAAAGGACATATTTTTGGGGTACTTTGCTCTACTCCAACATTATTTGGTTTTGGTGTTGCTTACTTTACGTTATCTAAAAAAGGGCCAGTGTAGGGGTCAACCATAAGTGTTGGAATTTGATTCCCCGTACAAAATGATGGTCTTAAGATTTTCTATAGCTTCTGTCCTTTTTCAGGTCACATAAAGAGGAAGTAAAAGAACAAAGACAACAATTTTTAAGGCAATATACAAAAACAAGAATAAACATATTATCTGTAATAATAATAGCATGCAGATCCTTGTTGAACACTAATGATACACTTGTATGACTGAATTGTTCACTCTAAGAATGGATTGGTTGGAGAAACAACCAATCTAGCTGGTTATACCAACTTTGGTTAGATTAACCACTATAATGGTTAGAAACTGAGCAAGCCATTGGTTTTGGATCAAGCAATTTAATTGGTTAACCAAACAACCAAATAAAATGGTAACTGATGGTTTATTACTCCCACTGTTTGGCTGTAGTCAAGTATAGTGTGTAATAGTTATGGACCTAGAGAACAATTACAATGTACAGCATGCAAATCTTGGCTTTTACTTTGGATATAATTGGCTTCTAATGAATTTCAAAAAGCATTAGCAGGGATAGTAGCCTTTAATGCAGGAGTTTGCTTTACAGCCAAAGAGTTGTTGGGTCACTACTGAACCAATAGTTTGGTCAAAGTGACCAATTTGTGTTGGTTTTCCATTTTACAAATATAGATTGGTTAAAAACACAACCAAATTAGATTGGTTCTTCTAACTACTACTTGTTTTGTTGTATTGACCTCTCTTTTTTTAGGGTGTACACTCCAATTAAGATTTTTTTTTTGTTGTAATTTGGGCTAATTGAGTTTTAATGTGATGTTTTGAATTTAACAAATATGTAGTTTTTTATATGAAGCACTATGACTTTTTGTAGTGACTTAAATCTGACACAGGATTTAAGGGGAGAGCTAGATATTAAGAATAAAGGCTTTTATACTTCAAAAAGTGAAGATACAAAAAGGCAGGTTGACTTCTCTGATGCCAAAAAAAACAGAGTTTTCATTATTTATAACCTGCAACTTTTTAACAGATGTAAAGAAAAAAAGGAAAACATAAATAATTTCTTTCCAAATGTATTTGGCTACCTCTTTTAGCTCTTCTGCCAACATTGTTTGATTACCTACAAATAAACTCTTATTTTCCATCAGGAATACACCTCTGGGTGGAGCAAATTAATCTTTAAAATGAATATGAATGATTTTGGGTTTAAACACATACAGCTTTAACACATTAAAACCAGTTTGAAGCCAGTATTCTTGGTAAAAACTCGTATTTAATTAATGGTGACGTTAATTCATTTTAATGATTGCTGTTTTAGAGGTACAGTGGAGGATTTTCGTGAATATTTGAAAAGACCCTCCCTCTCCACTTAAAAAAAAAAAAATAATGCACATGCACAATCCTGTACCCGCTCCCAAGAGGGAACACCTATTAATTGCACGCAAGAGCATGCATGAGCCAATTTCTCCTTGTGCACACTCCGTTTAAAAGCTTCTGTTTGCATCACTCATACAAACTTATTTTCCAAAAGAAGATTGCGATTTTTACACTATATCAGACTCACCACTATTAAGTGAAGATGGGGACGGGCATTTAGGACGGCCTTACAGAAATATATCACCAGAATGATTGACCGCCTGTTATGATGATCCACCCAGAAAAAGAACATCCTCCACTATCAGAGGCGTAGCTAGAAATTTTTTTTATAATGTTGGCCAGGCATTAACTTATGTACACTGAGGGATTGGCCGAAAGTGGATCGGCGCCAGAACCTGTAGGTCAATCTACACTGTTCAAACAGGAAGATTAATGAGCACAACGTCCATATTTACTACATAAAGACTAACTATACTTTCCTACAGCCTTTCCTAACAAATAGATGCATATATTTCAACATCCATGCTTTCTAGAATAAAGTGGAACAATTCTTTAAGGTTAGAGTTCGGGGTTAACATCTTTTGCATTGTCCTTACTTACCTACTTTTATCAATAATCATTATGCATAAAATTGAGATTTACAAGTACTAATATCTACATAAATTGATTATTTAATAAGTTTTTACTAAAATAGTTATTTATGATTTCACTGAAGACTACTAGATGATTTGCAGACACATTATTTTCTCTTTACCCCATATAACACAAAATCTAGTTCTGAAAAGAGCAGGAATTCTGTACTTATCTTTATTATTAGTACATTGCTGTGCATATGTACTAATATTATGTACTGCTCCAGAACTCTGAAGGTTCCGGAGCAGCTGCGTGCACACGGAATGCAAAGCAGGGCACACAGTTTATTGATCTTAGCGCACGGATCAATAAACCGAGAGCACAGTTTCTCAATCCACGGGCACGGATTAATAAACTGAAAGCACAGTTTCTCAATCCGCGGGCACAGATTAATAAACTGAAAGCACAGTTTCTTAATCTGGGCGCACGGATTGGAAAACCGTGCTCTCAGTTTATCAATCCGCGCCCACGGATTTCGACCGGCTGTATTTTTGTGTGTTTTTTTTTACCCTCCGTAGGATCCACCACAGAAAGGAAAAAAATGGTAGGGGGCCATGGCCACCCCTGGTCGCCCATCTAGCTCCGTCCATGTCCACTATACCTTTAAATATGCATAAAGGTCTAAAAACCTACATCAGTCGAAATTAACAGAAATATAGGTTTGGAATATATATCAGTGTGCGTGTTATAAATTTATGTAATGAAAAAAAATGGTTTACTCAAATGAAAGTATGTATAATTTTGCATGTATAATTTTGAATTTTACGAGGGAGTCCTGAAGGCATCATTTCAAACACTTGCCTCCTCCGCCTCCTCCTCCTCCTCCACACTATCTTTAGCCCTGTTGAGGATTACGCAGCGCAGTCCGTGCGTGTGGATCAAACTGCGCTCTGCTTATTGCCTCTGTCTATAAACACGCAAGAAAAAAAAAGCGAAGCAGACAGAGACTGAAATAAGAGTGATGGGGGACTGACTGCAACATTCTCCGGACCTCCGTCAAGCAGAAGACCCCCAGGATGCTGCTGCGCTCCAGTCCGCGGTGCGGCCACCTGCAGCGGGCCTCTCTGCTGCTGCTCTCCGCCGCTCCGCTGCTGTTTCTGCTGCTGCTGAGCTTCATCCCTGTCAGCGCCAGCTTCCCAGGTAAATACAAACATTAAATAAAACCTAAAACTGAGCAGAAATTGCCCTAAAGTAACCAACAGCTGCTAGATCACCTGTTACCAGTAAGAATGTGACTATTTATAGTGGAACACAACCTCAGCCATTTTAATATAACATAGATGATGCATTGTTTTGATTAATGAACATTTATTGTAGTCGTTTGTTATGTAATGGACAGGTTAAACCGCTGCTTACAGATAAGAGCGTACGGGAAATGAGTATTCCCTCCCTTGTCACTTTAATCAGTTTCCTTGTAAGCAGATATTAACAGAAAATCTAATTTATCCTGAATTAGGGATGTGATTTAATTGGGTCAGCTACAGGAACATATGAGGTTTCTGACTCCTGTTGCCAAAAGAATTTGAATCCAAATAGGTAGAGTTTAGTTTTACTGAGACATTTAGTTGTTAAATTACTTAAAATCTTTTTTTTTTCTTTAAGCAACCGATCAATTGCAGATAAAGAATCATTTAATACCTCCAGAGTATTTAAATATTTAGTTAGGAGAAAAATAATTCTTAATTAAGAGCTTTACTCTGTTTTCCATCTAATTTCAGGAAGGCTTTTTACAAATTATTCTAAAGGATATATATATATATATATATATATATATATATATATATATATATATACACACCTTTTAAGTATATATTTAAAAAGGTGTAAACTGAGCTTTTTATTTAAGAACATTGAAAGTGACTAAAGATCTATTCAAGAAGATTCTGTTATGCTTTTAGTTGAATTCTGTTGGCTAACAATAAACCATATTGATTACCAAACAAAAATGAAGAAAAAATAAATGAATATATAAAGTGAGGGGTGGTCAGTGATGCTGGTATGCCTGTTGAACTTAACTGGGGCCCCAAACCATCTAAGACTGTCTCTATGATTTTATAGATAATTATTTTAACCCTGTGAAATAAAGTAACTGCAATGCTACTCTGTGATTTTTTTTATTTTTTATTTTATTTTATACTTAATCAGATCATTCCCCTTGAGCTGTGAGAAAATTTAAATATCCATCAGTTTATTTTCGATTTTGCTTTCTGGGCTGTATGTTGACAGACTTGTCAGCCACCATGGGATTTATTAACGCAATTTGCTTCAGGGTATATATAAAATGGAACAGCTCGATGTTTACACAGACAGGGAAGTTAATCTACTTCTCAGCCTGTAAAAAAAAAAAATGATGGGAAAAGCAACAGCTGGACCGTCACATTTAATCTTTAGCCTTTATCAGACACACAGAAACCCCCCCCCAGACACGATCGGCATTAGCACTGAGCATTTGGTGACGTGGCACTGACAAAGGCTGTGGTGAATTTACCTCTATTTGAAGCAGCCGTAACTGTTTGATGGAAACCACTGAGGTCGGAAGGGTATGAAGGTGAAATGATGTAAAAGATGAAAGAAGAAACCACAATGTACTTCTCTTTTTTTTTTTTTTTTACCATTTTAGACACATTTTCACTCATGATATCTGCAGTTTAAATCTCGACTCTGATATTTGACCGATTTCTTCTGGTTCTGCTCTGACTTAATTAGATTTTTCTGTGATGATGTTTGTTTATATGACCGACTTAAACAAATGCAGAAACTGGAGACTGTAGTTAATTTAATTCATGCAGCATTACTGAGCTGTCCACTGGAAAATACATTTCACATCCCACCACTTTAATAATAAAGCAGCAAATATAAATCATTGTACAAGTGGTTTGCTAATATATTGACACCGTTCTATCTTTTCAAACAAACATAAAGCAACATCAATTTGTTTTTCAGCAATAATATCTGCTAGTTTGTTGGATTATTTCCCCACCAGCTTCACACATAGACTCAAGAATAGTGTAAGTGGGTCGAAAGAATCAGTCAGCAGTTATTTCCAGGTTATGCCACATAACAGATAAAAGTTTTTCTGCACAGATGAGGACTTTGACTAGGCCATTCCATCATAACTCTGGCTCAACGTTTAAAGTTAATCGTTCCAACCTCCTTATCTGTTTCAAGCGTTCTGCGATCTGAGTTGAGCATTTCTTCAAATCATCTTTCTTGTGTTTGCTGAAGAAACACATTCCCACAGCATGGTGCTGCCACCACCATGTTTCACTGTAGGAATGGTATGTTCAGGGGGCTGTGCGGTGTTCATAACCTGTATCGAGTGGTGGCTTAAGTAATGTAGGCAACTAACGATTATCTTGCAAATCGATTAATCTGTTGATTATGTTCTTAGATTAATTAATAATCAGATAGCAAAAGCTTCCTTAAAGAAGACTTTTCATGTAAATAAACCAGGTGAAACTAAAACTTTTCCTCTAGAGGAGATCTGGATAAAACATATGGAAAGAAGAAAAAGTATTTTTTTTATTTTTATCTTAAATGCAAACTATTTATATTTCATTTTTCACAATTTTCATATAATTACTGCTCTAAGTGAGTTGCAGTCACCTAAAGGCACCTTTATGAGTCTCTATCCTTCAGTTAATGATTAGTCGATTACTAAATTAGTTGATATTATTTCAATATTCAATTATTAATGAGTAATCTGATTCATTGTTCTAGCCCTAAAATAATGCTCTGTGAAATTGCATTAATCCACATTGGATTCATTGAAATACATGGCATTTTGTGTTTGCTATAGGGGCTAATATTAGAAAATAAAAATAAAAAAGGGTGTGAATACTTTTGGAGGTGCAGGACAAGGAAGGATGTTTCCTGGAAGCAAAAAGCTGCAGGATTGAGGGTCTTGTTGCCTTTTTGTGTGCAGAAAATATGCTTGGCCTCGTCTGCAGTCAGAGGCTTTGATTTGTTTTCACCGTGACAACTGTTGCAGTTGAACGCAGCCTGCTCATAACAGCGAGCGGCAGAGCTGCAGTATGTGGGCTATTGTTCGCATATGTTGTGTGGAAATCACAGGAGCTGTCGGGAACGCTCGTTCTCTCACCATTTCACTGTGAAATCGCAGCAAAGACAAGCTGTGTAGGATCCACAGCAGTGCAGTTAGTAAACATACTTTAGCAAAAAAAAATCCCACTCAATGGTTTCAGGTCTCTGCAGTTGATTCAGTAAAACACTGACCTATCAGTGGCAGCCTAGTGGTTTTTGCATAGAGCTTGGAAAGCTGAGGTTCTGAATTCGAGCCCCACTCCCACAGTCTGGGTCCCTAAGTAAGACCCTTAACCCCACACTGCTCCCTGGGAGCTGCACGATGGCAGCCCACTGCTCCCCACGGGGATGGGTTAAATGCAGACATAATTTTTTTCCACTGCGAGACCAAAAAAGTTCAATTATTATTATTATCGTTAAGTATTAATATGCCATTGAGATCTTCCTGAACGCTGAGATCTGGATGTGGAAGTTATCCAAAACCCCCATTCAGGCAATTGCCTTCATAAACTATCTTTATTAAATTCTTTAAGTAGCAGATTGATAAAAGCATGCAGGTATTTTTATCCTACAAGCTCACTCTGTTTTGTTTTTGTCTTTTCTCTCAAAGACGTGTATTTTTGAGATCATCCCCACTGTGTCAAGTGTTAGAGAACACCTTCTCCTCAAAATTCTGACTAAGACCAATTGTTGTTGTGCTGCCACGTTTGTTATTCCACAGCCCACTTCAGATCAGGGAGCTTATTACTCAGTGAGCCTCTGCCCGTGGCCTTTTTCTCTCACCAGGATTAAGCTTTAACGAGTCACATCCTTAAGTGTCACACGCAGTCTCCTGTTTGCATACACAGTCGCTTTCTCCTCACAGGGTCTTCATTCACCTTCTCTGTCCTGCAGGCACAGCAGTAATTTGTTTCATGTATTAAAAACTAGGAAAGGTCAAGAGAGAGCACTGGCAGACATTTAAACCCTGGAGAGTTAGTAAAAATGTACATAAATGCATATTTTAGGCATTGGAAACCTTTCTTGTTAAATCACTGTAAAAATATCCTCAATGCAGATGTACATAAAACAACCTATAGCCAGTTGTCTTTATTTTAGAATATAATAAAAAAAATCTATTTATTGTCCCACAGTGCGGAAATGCTGGTGTTTATAGCAGCAAAAAGGTTATTGAAAAAAATGGTCACACAAATGTGGACCTTAGGAAAATGTATAAGAATAACACAATAGGGAAAAGTTAAAAGATAAACCATAAAATACTGTATTGTAAAGTGTTTTAACAATATATACTTATACAATATAACAAAAATTTATATTCTAGAAGGGAGAAAAGAGGAGATGACCAGCCCTAAGACACTGATACCCAATAGCGATGGAGAATTTAGGATCCTGCCTTAAAAAAAAAAACAAAACATGATTTCGCCTCTCACATTTTTTCTGTTACAAAATATTTTATATTTTGTGTTCATGCAGACTGAATGTTGTCTCTCCACCCTCCAAGTCATCTTCCCTTCAGTGCACAGCTTGTTTTTCTTGCTCACTTCCTCATGGCTGGTGATCTCTTCCCCCCCAACCCATCCGGGTGTGCTGAATTGTAGTTGTCCGCCTCACGATGAACTGACACTGATTTTATCCTTCATCTCTAGCCTGTAATAGTTAAAGTAGTGAGTATAGAATTGGCAGTGAGAAATGAAGAAAAATTTAAATTAGTAAATTTATAAGTAAGTCAATTTATTAAAAAAATGGAGGAACGGATTCTCGATCACAGACCTGTTATTTAAGGTATCTAATGCTATTCATAAACCCCTTTTAAAAAAAAAAAAAAAAGGTTACGGTAATCTGGAATCAACCTGAAACTATAAAGTATAAATACTCTGGAATGAGGAACTAATCAGTTTATTAACCAAACAATGAAATTGCGATTTTTTTATTTAAAAAATGTGCAAAGAGTCTGGTTGTTTTGCTTACACCCACTCCAATGCAGTAATGCTAGATCACTTTAGGGTAGAGATTTACACAAATATCTTTTTTCTTATTAATATATTTTATTATATATATTATATAAGGGACTGGGGTTTGAATTTCAATGGGATCAG